TGGAGTAATGAATCTCGAAATTCACGTAAGCAGTTACCCATCGAACGTGGCATTTCGGGTGGGCCCTCCTTTTGTTGTAAACTATTCGCTATAACCATCAGGGCACGTATTCCAATATTCATTCGTTCCGGATACAGTGAGCTTTTCAGAACACTGTGCGCCCTGTTACAACCCAACAAATCGAAAATGATTTCCTAAAATTCGACCGTAAAAAATCCAGAATATTTTAGAAAAAAAATTCATGATAAAAATATCTGGCAAAAGTTCTGATTACATCTCAGTAATTTCGTATATGCTAACGGTTGTCTAGGTTAACCTAGTGTAGATTCGTCAATAATACTTGAATAATATAGTCAGGAATCCATTTTTATGATTTTTCAATCTTTAGAACCGATGAGAAGGCGTTGTGTGCATCTAAGCGATGCCAGCCTTTTAACAAAATTCTTGTTATCAGCTTCGTTGTAAGCAACTTTGGAAATAAGGAGCCACCAAAAGTCCTACCACCGAGAGGTTGCCAGTCGAGAGCCTTCCCACCGAGTGGTTGCCATACAAAAGCTTTACCACCGAGTGGTTGCCGATCAAAAAGCCTTACCACCGAGTGGTTGTCAATCGAAAGCTTTACCACTGAGCGGTTGCCAAACGAAAGCTTTACCACCGAGTGGTTGCCAATCGAAAACCTTACCGCCGAGTGGTTGCCAATCGAAAACCTTACCACCGAGTGGTTGCCAGACAAAAAGCCTTACCACCGGGTGGTTGCCAATCAAAAAGCCTTACCACCGTTGTTGCCAATCGAAAGCTTTACCACTGAGTGCTTGCCAATCGAAGACCTTACCACCGAGTGGTTGCCAATCGAAAGCCTTACCACTGAGTGGTTGCCATACGAAAGCTTTACCACCGAGTGGTTGCCAGTCGAAAGCTTTACCACCGAGTGGTTGTCAATCAAAAAGCCTTACCACCGAATGGTTGCCAACCGGAAGCCTTACCACCGAATGGTTGCCGATCGAAAGCCCTACCACCGAGTGGTTGCTTGCAGTTGACAACTGCTATTCGGGCTGCTCCCGATTGCCATCAATCCTTTGAAAGAGTAAATATGGATTTTGATTGTGAACAAAAAAAAAAAAAACAAATTACCTTGAAAGCAAAATCAAGCTTTTGCTGCGCAATAAAATGTATGATTTTGACAAATATATTGAGCGGCGCATCACGTGGCACCACAGCTCGATTACCTTTTGGAAAAAGCGAGTTGCAAATCGATTCCAGACGATTTCGTGTTGCTGTATTGCCTTCACAGTTATTTCGAATTACATACACCCTGAAAGACAGCGATGGCAGATGCTGAAGAAGCTTGAAAATTAATTGGCCAAGTTTCTTTTTTAGCAATTCTCTGATCCTAAGTTCTGTGATATCATCGTATAAGAGTCCAAATAGTGTGCGCGCTATACGTGTTCATATTCTGGCGCTCAGAAATAGTGAGTCTAGTCCATTGTGGTGCGTCGGCTCGGATTAAGCGATGATTTACAATGTGTTTCAATGATATTGGGTGGACGACATCAATCAATCTGCTGATAATCGTGTTTTTTTTTCCTATGATTTTCTCGTCTCTAAAAGAAAGTTCGCTGTTATTCCAACTTTTCTATGATCTCCTCTTTTCTAAGAAGTTTCAGATTCAAGTATTTTCCGTAGCTGGAATTGGAAAAGACAATGTTTTTTTAACCAGAATATTAACAAAAGAAATTCTATCTGGCAAGTTTGTAAAAGAAATTTATTTAAGTTGGAACATGCTTCTGGTTTAATTTTCTTATAAAACATTTTACCGGCCTAACCACAACATGGTACACACCAAAAAAAAATTCCAAAAAACGGCAAAAAAAATCGGAACAAAAAATGTACGTACCACAGAAGGCGATAAAGCGATTCCAAAGCAACTCGTGATACTTTGGAATCCTTGTTTTTTAGACTAGCAAGTGTA